AACTGGCCAATGAGACCATTGCCGCCTACAAGCAGCGTTGCCTGGCTCAGATAGAGGCTGAGGAACAACGCCTGCTGGCAGTCGAGGCTGCCCGCATACAAGCTGAAGAGGCAGCAGCAGCAGAGAAACTGCGGCTACAGGCCGATGCAGAAGCAGATGCCCAGGCTCGCCGAAAGGAAGCCCAGGATCTGCTGCAGCGGCATGAAGCCAACAGCATCGACAGACTCAAGTACTGGCATTTTCAACCAAACGGCGACGATGCAACACCGGAAGAAAAGCACAAGGAGTTCCTCTCCAAACTCGTGACGCGGTTGTTGTATGCTTGCAACTACCAAAGGTCAGAGTTGGAGAGACAGCACCGGGACTTGACGACGCTCCGCCGCACAGTGCAGAGCCACGAGGATGCAACTCGGGCACTCAATGCCCGATTGTTGGAACTGGAACAGGCAGTACCAGGACCAGCTGTTGGAGYTTCCAGCAGTGCACCCTCAAGCCGCCAACTGGAGGACCGCGTTGACCACGTAGTGGCAATGCTCGGCGACATCAGCACCTTCGCTGCGCCGACCACCACCATCAGCAGTCAGCTGCATACATTGAAGACCGAGGTCCAAAAGCAGCAGTCGACGAACGTGGACGACAATCCGAAGATGTACAAGATGCCAACTTTCAACCTGGAGAGGTTCGACGACTACACGCAGCAGGATCCCGTCCTCTGGTGGGAAGCATTCACAACGCAAGTCAGGATTCTGCCAGTAGCCAAGCATGCGTACATCGGCGCCCTGTTCCTGAACTCAAAGGGCGGATGCCAGACCTGGTTAAGCCACCTGGCAACCTCCTACGGCGTCGACGTACCAGACTTGAAGGACGTAATCACATGGGAGGAACTAACACGGCTGTGGAAGAAGCGGTTCATCGTCGACGACGCGCCGGCACTCGCCATCAACCGTTTATTCACCATGTCACAGGGCAACACAGCAACACGGGACTGGCTCACGGAGTGGCAGAAGATTGCGGCTGTGCCCAATCTGAACCTACCATTCGAGCATCTACGCCGTGAGTTCTACAACAGGTCCTGTGCGGCATTGAGCGAGGCTCTTGGTGATCGCGAGCAGTACTCAACCTTCGCGGAGATCATTGACAAAGCGAGAGAGATCATCAAGACCAACAGGTCAGCTGCACACGAGAAATCAACATCATGGCAACCGACCTATGTGGAGAAGGTACGAACTGGTCCGCGACAGCAGCACTTCGCTGCAGTCCAGCAGGACAGTGGAGATAACCCAGCAGCCACTCCAGTATCAAGTGACGGAGATCAGGTGGCCGCTGTCCAGCCGCGAAGCACCAACAAGTCTCGTAACAATGGGAAGGCGAAACCCGCATCGCAGGCCGGAAATGAACAGCCAGGACAGTTTCCATGGGTCAAGTTTGGCTTGACCGAGGAGGAGTACAAGATCCGCGACCGCTACGGCAGCTGCTATTGGTGCAACAACACCAAGCACAAGACCTCCATGTGCGACCCCGCCTCAGCTCGGGAAACTGAGCTCCGCGGAAGGTGAGGCGACTCCACCTTCTACTCCGCCAGATTCGGCCGCCTTGTTAGCGGCCTCCTGCACATCTGGGGAGGATGCGAACGTCGCAAGTCCTCGGTATACTTACGAGGATTATGCTGTCCACTTGGTTCCACCGCTGGACCAACAGCTCCACGTGCAACAGTCCACCGCATGCACGGTTTCATCACCATCGGCAACCGAT